CAGGGGAGACACAGTTAGTAGGAGTCTACCCACGCACACACAGAGGGAGAGACAGTTAGTAGGAGTCTACCCACACACACACACAGGGGGAGAGACACAGTTAGTAGGAGTCTAACCACGCACACACAGGAGAGACACAGTTAATAGGAGTCTACCCACACACACACAGGGGAGACACAGTTAGTAGTAGTCTACCCACGCACACACAGGGGAGACACAGTTAGTAGGAGTCTACCCACGCACACACACAGGGGAGACACAGTTAGTAGGAGTCTACCCACGCACACACAGGGGAGAGACACAGTTTGTAGGAGTCTACCCACGCACACACAGGGGAGAGACACAGTTAGTAGGAGTCTACCCACGCACACACAGGGGGAGAGACACAGCTAGTAGGAGTCTACCCACGCACACACAGGGGAGAGACACAGTTAGTAGGAGTCTACCCACGCACACACAGGGGGAGAGACAGTTAGTAGGAGTCTACCCACGCACACACACAGGGGGGAGACACAGTTATTAGGAGTCTACCCACGCACACACACAGGAGAGACACAGCTAGTAGGAGTCTACCCACACACACACACAGGAGAGACACAGTTAGTAGGAGTCTACCCACGCACACACACAGGAGAGACACAGTTAGTAGGAGTCTACCCACGCACACACACAGGGAAGACACAGTAGGAGTCTACCCACACACACACAGGAGAGACACAGTTAGTAGGAGTCTACCCACGCACACACAGGGGAGAGACACAGTTAGTAGGAGTCTACCCACGCACACACAGGGGAGAAACAGTTAGTAGGAGTCTAACCACGCACACACACAGGGGAGAGACACAGTTAGTAGGAGTCTACCCACGCACACACAGGGGGGAGACACAGTTAGTAGGAGTCTACCCACGCACACATAGGGGAGAGACACAGTTAGTAGGAGTCTACCCACACACAGGGGAGACACAGTTAGTAGGAGTCTACCCACGCACACATAGGGGAGAGACACAGATAGTAGGAGTCTACCCACACACAGGGGAGACACAGTTAGTAGGAGTCTACCCACGCACACACAGGAGAGACACAGTTAGGAGGAGTCTACCCACGCACACACAGGAGAAACAAAGTTAGTAGGAGTCTACCCACGGACACACAGGGGAGAGAGAGTTAGTAGGAGTCTACCCACACACACACAGGCGAGACACAGTAGGAGTCTACCCACGCACACACAGTGGAGAGACAGTTAGTAGGAGTCTACCCACGCACACACACAGAGGAGACACAGTTAGTAGGAGTCTACCCACGCACACAAAGGGGGAGAGACACAGTTAGTAGGAGTGTACCCACACACACACACAGGGGAGAGACACAGTTAGTAGGAGTCTACCCACGCACACACAGGAGAGACACAGTTAGTAGGCGTCTACCCACACACACACAGTGGAGACACAGTTAGTAGGAGTCTACCCACGCACACACAGGGGAGAGACACAGTTAGTAGTAGTCTACCCACGCACACACACAGGGGGGAGACACAGTTAGTAGGAGTCTACCCACGCACACACAGGGGAGAGACACAGTTAGTAGGAGTCTACCCACGCACACACAGGGGGAGAGACACAGTAGGAGTCTACCCACGCACACACAGGGGAGAGACACAGTTAGTAGGAGTCTACCCACACACACAGGGGAGACACAGTTAGTAGGAGTCTACCCACGCACACACAGGGGAGACAGTTAGTAGGAGTCTACCCACGCACACACAGGGGGAAGACACAGTTAGTAGGAGTCTACCCACGCACACACAGGCGAAAGACACAGTAGGAGTCTACCCACGCACACACAGGGGAGACACAGTTAGTAGGAGTTTACCCACGCACACACAGGGGAGACACAGTTAGTAGGAGTCTACCCACGCACACACAGGGGAGACACAGTTAGTAGGAGTCTACCCACGCACACACAATGGAGAGACACAGTTAGTAGGAGTCTACCCACACACAGGGGAGACACAGTAGGAGTCTACCCACGCACACAGGGGAGATACAGTTAGTAGGAGTCTGTAGTGAAAATTAGATGAGTATTCAATTTGATATAGTAGTGTATATACACTACACTATTCACTACACTATACACTACACTATACACTACACTATACTACTATACACTACACTACACACTACACTATACACTACACTATACACTTCACACTACACTATACACTACATTATACACTTAAACTACTATACACCACACTATACACTACACTATACACTACACTATGCACTACTATACACTTTCACCACTATATACTACACTATACACTACACTATACACTACACAACACTATACACTACACTATAAACTACACTATACACTACACTATACACTACACTATACACTACTATACACTACACTATACACTACACTATACACTACACTATACACTACGCTACTATACACTACACTGCTATACACTACACTACTATACACTACACTACACTATACACTACACTATACACTACACTATACACTACACTACTATACACTATACACTACACTATACACTACAAACTACACTACACTGTACACTACACTACTACACTACACACTGCACTATACACTACTATACACTACACTATACACTACACTACTATACACTACACACTACACTATACACTACACTATACACTACACACTACACTACACTACACACTACACTATACACTACTATACACTACACTATACACTACACTATACACTACACTACTACACTATACACTACACTACACACTGCACTATACACTACTATACACTACACTATACACTACACTACTACACACTACACTACACACTACACTATACACTACACTACTATACACTACACTATACACTACACTATGCACTACACTACTACTATACACTATACATTACTATACACTACACTATACACTACACTACTATACACTATACACTACACTACTATACACTATACTATACACTACACTATACACTACACTATACACTACACACTACACTACACTATACACTACACTATACACTACACTACTATACACTACACTATACACTACACTATACACTACACTACACACTACACTATATACTACACTATACACTACACACTACACTATACACTACACACTACACTACTATACACTACACTACTATTCACTACACTATTCACTACACTATACACTACACTACACACTACACTACACACTACATTACACACTACACTATACACTACACTACTATACACTACACACTACACTACACACTACACTACACACTACACTACACTACTACACACTACACTATACACTACTACACTATACACACTACACACTATACACTACACACTACACTACACTACTAAACACTACACTATACACTACACTACTACACACTACACTACACACTACACTACACACTACACTACACTACACACTACACTACACACTACACTACACTACTACACTATACACTACACTATACACTACACTATACACTACACACTACACTACACTACTACACACTACACTATACACCACTACACACTACACTATACACCACTACACACTACACTATACACTACACTACACACTACACTACTACACACTACACTACTACACACTACACTACACTACACACTACACTACTACACTACACTACTACACACTACACTACACACTACACTACTACACACTACACTACACACTACACTACTACACACTACACTACTACACACTACACTACTACACACTACTACACTACACACTACTACACTACACACTACACTACTACACTACACACTACACTACTACACACTACACTACACTACTACACTCCTACACACTACACTACTACACACTACACTACACACCACACTACACTACACACTCCACTACACTACACACTACACTATACACTACACTATACACTACACTACTACACACTACACTACACTACTACACTATACACTACTACACACTACTACACACTACACTACTACACTACACACTCCACTACACACTACACTACACTATACACTACTACACACTACTACACACTACACTACACACTACACTATACACTACACTACACACTACACTACACACTACACTACTACACACTACACTACTACACACTACTACACACTACACTACACACTACACTACTACACACTACACTACTACACACTACACTACACTACACACTACACTACACACTACACTATACACTACACTACACACTACACTACACACTACACTACTACACACTACACTACACACTACACTACTACACACTACACTACTACACACTACACTACTACACACTACTACACACTACACTACACACTACACTACTACACACTACACTACCTCACACTACACTACTACACACTACACTACTACACACTAGACACTACACTACTACATACTACACTACTACACACTACACACTACACTACACACTACACTACTAAACACTACACTACACACTACACTACTACACACTACACTACACGCTCCACTACTACACACTACACTACTACACTACACACTACTACACACTACACTACTACACTACACACTACACTACTACACACTCCACTACACACTACACTACACTACTACACACTACACTACACACTCCACTACACACTACACTACTACACACTACACTACTACACTATACACTACTACACACTACACTATACACTACACACTACACTACACACTACACTACACACTCCACTACACACTACACTATACACTACACTACTACACACTACACTACACACTACACTACTAAACACTACACTACTACACACTACACTATACACTACACTATACACTACACTATACACTACACACTACACTATACACTACACTACTACACTACACACTACACTACACACTCCACTACACTACACACTACACTACTACACACTACACACTACTACACTACACTACTACACACTACACCACACGCTCCACGACTTCACCTCTGCTGTAGAAGTAGACGTCCAGGCCGGCGTGCGGGTGTGCCGGGTAGGGTGACAGCATGGCCCCGTCAAGACGCGTGGGAACGCCGCGCCAGCTCAGTGCTGTGTCGCGTGGGTAGCACTGGTCTGGAGCAGCAGCAACAGCAGCAGCAGCAGGTGCAGCAAGTGGGGACATCAGTGGTTGTAGTAGTAGTAAACATTAGTAGTAGTAGCAGCAGCAGCAGTAGTAGTAGTAGGAGCATCAGTAGTAGTAGTAGCAGTAGTAGCAGTAGTAGTAGGGACATCAGTGTTAGGGGCAGTAGCAGTAGTAGTAACAGTAGTAGTAGTAGCAGTAGTTGTAGTAGTAGCAGTAGTAGTAGCAGTAGTAGCAGTAGTAGTAGCAGTAGTAGTAGTAACAGTAGTAGTAGCAGCAGTAGTAGCAGTAGTAGTAGGGGCAGTAGTAGTAGAAGTAGTAGTAGCAGTAGTAGCAACAGCAGCAGCAGGTGCAGTAAGTAGGGACATCAGTGGTTGTAGTAGTAAACATTAGTAGTAGCAGCAGCAGTAGAAGTAGGAGGGGCAGTAGTAGTAGCAGTAGTAGTAGTAGGGGGAGTAGTAGCAGCAGTAGTAGCAGCAGCAGCAGTAGTAGCAGTAGTAGTAGCAGTAGGGGCAGTAGAAGTAGTAGTAGCAGCAGCAGCGGCAGAAGGTGCAGTAAGTAGGGACATCAGTGGTAGTAGGGACATCAGTGGTAGTAGTAAACATTAGTAGTAGCAGCAGCAGTAGTAGGTGTAGCAGTAGTAGTAGAAGTAGTAGTAGTAGCAGTAGTAGTAGTAGCAGCAGTAGCAGTAGTAGTAGCAGCAGTAGTAGTAGGTGTAGCAGTAGTAGTAGTAGAAGTAGTAGTAGCAGCAGTAGTAGTAGTAGCAGCAGTAGTAGTAGTAGGTGTAGCAGTAGTAGTAGTGGCAGTAGTAGTAGTGGCAGTAGTAGCAGCAGTAGTAGCAGCAGCAGCAGTAGTAGCAGTAGCAGTAGGGGCAGTAGTAGTAGAAGTAGTAGTAGCAGTAGTAGCAGCAGTGGTAGTTACAGTAGTAGTGGCAGTAGTAGCAGCAGCGGCAGAAGGTGCAGTAAGTGGGGACATCAGTGGTTGTAGTAGTAAACATTAGTAGTAGCAGCAGCAGTAGAAGTAGGAGGGGCAGTAGCAGTAGTAGTAGTGGCAGTAGTAGCAGTAGCAGCAGCAGTAGAAGTAGGAGGGGCAGTAGTAGTAGCAGTAGTAGTAGTAGGGGCAGTAGTAGCAGCAGTAGTAGCAGTAGTAGTAGCAGTAGTAGTAGCAGTAGGGGCAGTAGTAGTAGAAGTAGTAGTAGCAGCAGCAGCGGCAGAAGGTGCAGTAAGTAGGGACATCAGTGGTAGTAGGGACATCAGTGGTAGTAGTAGTAAACATTAGTAGTAGCAGCAGCAGTAGTAGGTGTAGCAGTAGTAGTAGAAGTAGTAGTAGTAGCAGTAGTAGCAGCAGTAGTAGCAGTAGTAGCAGCAGTAGTAGAAGTAGTAGTAGTAGCAGTAGTAGCAGCGGCAGAAGGTGCAGTAAGTAGGGACATCAGTGGTAGTAGTAGTAAACATTAGTAGTAGCAGCAGTAGTAGTAGGGGCAGTAGTAGTAGTAGCAGTAGTAGCAGTAGTAGTAGTAGCAGCAGTAGCAGTAGTAGTAGCAGCAGTAGTAGTAGGTGTAGCAGTAGTAGTAGTAGAAGTAGTAGTAGCAGTAGTAGTAGCAGTAGTAGTAGGTGTAGCAGTAGTAGTAGTGGCAGTAGTAGTAGTGGCAGTAGTAGCAGCAGTAGTAGCAGCAGCAGCAGTAGTAGCAGTAGCAGTAGGGGCAGTAGTAGTAGAAGTAGTAGTGGCAGTAGTAGCAACAGCGGCAGAAGGTGCAGTAAGTAGGGACATCAGTGGTAGTAGTAGTTAACATTAGTAGTAGCAGCAGTAGTAGTAGGTGTAGCAGTAGTAGTAGAAGTAGTAGTAGGGGCAGTAGTAGTAGTAGCAGTAGTAGTAGGTGTAGCAGTAGTAGTAGGGGCAGTAGTAGTAGTAGTAGCAGGAGTAGTAGTAGCAACAGTAGTAGCAGCAGTAGTAGCAGTAGTAGTTGTAGTAGTAGCAGCAGCAGTAGTAGAAGTAGCAGTAGTAGTAGCAGTAGTAGTAGCAGTAGTAGTAGTAGGGGCAGTAGTAGTAGGGGCAGTAGTAGTAGTAGTAGCAGTAGTAGGGGCAGTAGTAGTAGTAGCAGTAGTAGTAGCAGCAGTAGTAGTAGCAGTAGTAGCAGTAGTAGTAGGGGCAGTAGTAGTAGGGGCAGTAGTAGTAGTAGGGGCAGTAGTAGTAGTAGCAGTAGTAGCAGAAGTAGTAGTAGTAGTAGGGACATCAGTGTTAGGGGCAGTAGCAGTAGTAGTAACAGTAGTAGTAGCAGCAGTAGTAGTAGATGTAGCAGTAGTAGCAGTAGCAGCAGTAGTAGTAGTAGGGGCAGCAGTAGAGGTAGCAGCAGTAGTAGTAGCAGTAGTAGTAACAGCAGCAGTAGTAGTAGCAGCAGCAGTAGTAGTAGTAGCAGCAGTAGTAGTAGTAGCATTAGTAGCAGTAGTAGCAGCAGCAGTAGTAGTAGCAGCAGTAGCAGTAGTAGTAGCAGCAGCA